ACAACAACGAACAACAGGCGACGCGACGACTAATCGTAAAGGAAGTGAATGAAGGTCGCCGCGCCCCGCCGTTCTTTTGTTCGGCCAACGACATTGTGGCGCCCGCCAGCGCACCCCGCGCCGTGCCGAGTTACCATCGCCTCGGGGGCTTTATTGGGTGCGCCCCAGCGGCCCCCCCTGCGCCGCCCGCCGCGCGAAGTAAAGTAGTTGTTGTGTGCAGTGAGTTTGCGCTCGCTGACTGCTGCCGTTATTGGCCGGCCTGAGCGGCCTGACAGGTGAGCCGCGTGAGCCGCGCCCGGCAGCCTGACGGGGACAACCCCATACACCGCCATCACAAACACGGGGCTGATGCGGCTGACACGGCGCCGGGGAGGGGGATGCGCTGTGGCAGTGACGAACGCGCTGTTTAGCCTCCCCTCTCTCTTTACCTATGTGAGTGAGTGAGCGAGCGAGCGAGTGGGTGAGGGAGTAAGAGAGTGAGCGAGAGAGAGAGTGAGAAAGAGAGTGAAAGAAAGAGAGTGAGAGAAAGAGAGTGAAAGAAAGAGAGTGAGAGAAAGAGAGTGAAAGAAAGAGAGTGAAAGAAAGAGACAGAGAGAGAGAGAGAACGAACGAACGAAAACCGGAACCTCCCGACCTTCTTTCTGGGGATCATTAGGCCTTTTGGGGTGTTGAACCTGACCTCACACTTGAATGTTTTCCTCGCAGCCGCGGCCGCAGCCTCCGATCGTGACCATCACTGCGGCTCGCGAGCAGCAGAACCACCGCCAGCAGCAGGCGGCCGACAGGTGAGCGTGAGCGGACTAGCGTTAGCTGACGGGAGGCGCCCGCGAGGCGGCGGGTAGGCAACACCTGCGACACTGGCGCGGCGGCGTTGCCTGCCCGCCGGGCTGACGCGGGCTGACCGTCGTCGTGTTCGTGTGTCTTGGCGGGGTGGCAACCTCGGTGATAACTCGATTTCTCTCTGTTTGCGTAGCCACAAGCAGCCCAAACAACAGCGGCGGGAAGAGCAGCAAGTGTACAGTGAGTACACTAAGAAACGCATCGCGCGCTGGTGTTGTGTTCCGCATGCCTAAACTCTGGCTCGCTTTGCAGAAGGCCCCTCCTCGGTGTCGGGGCCGTCGGGTCGGGACGGCGCCGGCGGGCCCAGGACGGACATCTCCGAGCACGACACGACCACCGAGGACTACGCCACGGCCACCGAGAACAACTCGGGCACCGACACGTCGTCGCGGCGCTCCGGGGCCGCGGTGCCGCCCGAGGACGGCGCCGGGGCGGCGGGGGACGACGCGGCGGCCGGCGTCGGCGGCGACCACCAAGCGGGCAGGGAGGCGGTCCGGAACGGCGGCGGCAGCTCTTTCGAGAGCGCTTCCAGTCACTACAGCCTGTCGCGGACGGACGCGGTGTGCGAGGAGCAGCACCAGGTACGTCAATGTGAAACAGGCCGCCATGTGTCTGATTCGCCTCGTCCACCACCTCGTCCAAGTTAGTTAGACTGTACCGAAGACGCTTGCTGGCGGATTGCCAACTGGCTCGGGCCGTGAGAGGCCATGGCAGAAGGCTCTGTAGACCTGGTACTTTTCGCATTTAATTTAAAACTTTCATTTATCATAATTAACTTTAGTTACAAAAAAATAACTCGTTTATTTCTTTGACAACTTTTTTTGTTTGCCCTAATAATGCTTTATGACATTTTTTCTTTCTTTCTCGTTCCAGATGGCGCCACTGGCCCCCGACGAAAGCTCCAGTGAGGGCCAGACACTTCGCGCCAAGCCGCTCCCGGAGCCGCCGCTGGGCCTAAGATCGGGCACCCCGCTCAGTGCCGATGAGAGCAGCAGCTGTGGCAGGTGAGGCCTTGGAGTAGCGGAGGGGCAAGAGCAGAGGCCGAGGCAGAGGCAGAGGCACTGTTTTACGGGGCAACTTACAAAATTTGTCCATTATCCGTCGAGCATGATTTTGTTTGACAGTTACAGCGTCGAGGGTAGCTCGGTGGACACGGCGCTCCACCACAAGTACGGCAAGGATGAGCAGAACATCGAACAGAAGCGGCGATGCCACATACAGGCGCAGCAGCAGCAACAGCAGCAACAGCTGGAACAGCAGCAGAAGGAGAAGATGCAACAGCAGCTACGGAAGAAACAACTTCGGGAGAAATTGCTTCGTGACCAACAATTGCTACAACAGCAGCAACAGCAACTTACCCGCGAGCAACAACTGCAGCAACAGCAGCAGTTGCAACAGCAGCTCGAAATCGAAGAACAGAAACTGCAGCTCTTGAAGCAACAGCAGTTGAAGCAGCAGCAGGAACAGCAGCAACTTCAGCAACAGCAACAGCAGCAGCTGGAACAGCAGCAGCAGCAGCACAAGCAGGCCCTGAGGCACGCCCACCTGATAAAGCCGGGGTCCGTGTCAGACGAGGAGCACAGCGGACACTGCTCGTCATCGGGCTACTACGAGTCTCCGGCTGAGGACGACGACGAGGACCAGATACAGAGGACGAGGTAAAATTTTTATTTTCTGGTGTCTGAGTACTAAACAATTTTGGGGGACACTTAGAAAAAATGCCACGAAATTCAAATTCACTACGTAAACATTTCAACAAATTCATGTTTTTTGGTGAATCTGTTTTAATCACAATGGTATCTTAACATTTTCCACTTGCAGGACGCGCAGAGACTGGACGGAGGAGGAGAAGCGGAGGGTCAAGCGCGCCTTCAAGCTGGACTTTGTGCCGGAGGGCCCGGGGGCCGTGGGTGCCGCCGGGGCGAGGGAGGCGGCGGGCAAGAGGACGCCGAACGGGAGGCGAGCCGCTAAGGACCGGCACAGTCCTGGTCGTTCCCCGGGTCGCGGCGCCGGGCCGGCGGGGCCGTCGGGGAGGGGCGCCGCGGTGCTGGACGCCAACGGCGCCATGGTGCGCAGCCCCGCGGTGCACGACGGGCTCCGCGCCGCGTCGCCGCGCGCCACCCCCGACGAGGTACGTTCACTACGGCGATCACTGTGCTGATGTGTTTTTGTGTCTGACCTGACCGTCGACCTCTGCTCCCGCAGCTCGCGCCCTGCTCGGTGCACGGCGCCCTCGGCGCGCACGGCTACGGCGACCCCAGCCCCGGCCACTCGGGCTCGGGCTCCTCGGACGAGTCCGGCAGGGAGGGCGGCGCGTCCCCGCGGAGGCACCGCCGGCCGCGGCGGGGCGGCGCGGGGGGCCGCAGCCCAGGCGGGGCCCACGGCGGGGCCCACAGCTCCCACGGCGCCGGCGCCGCTGCCGGGGCTGGAGGCGCTCGCAGCCCGCTGTGTCCCGAACACAGGTAAGCAGCGGGGAGCTGCGCGTCCCCAGGGAGCTCCGCGTCCACAGCCCGCCTTGTAATTTATTTCGTCCGCGCCTCGGCTTGCCTCCCTCTCTTTTCTTTTCTCTCGGCGGCGGCGCTGTTGCCGACCCTCCGCACCCGCCCTCGCCTCCCCTCCTTGCTTTTTGTAGTTTTCATCCCCCCACCGCGCCCC